AATCGAAGAGCTGGATCCTGTCCCGTAATGTGCACTTAGTGTTCACAAGCCCTTCGATTCAAAAAAATGAGGACAAAAACAAGCAAACTAACAAACAAACAAACAAACAAACAAGCAAAGCAACACATACCGAGAGATAAAGAGAGAGAAAGAGAAAGCAATATATATATATATAACGGGCGGGGCCAAATTGTCTCGGGCGACGACTGCTGCACACCCACGCTGGCCTCGACCGGGCTAAGCTGGAGCCCCAGATCGGGGTCCTTGCCTGTCTAATCGAGCCAAGACAAGGCCGGTGAGGTGGACAGTCAGGGTGCGGTGCGACCAGAATTACGAAGCGAATCCAGCGGTGGCGACAATGGTCCTCCAGGAGGCCAAAGAAGGCAAAGACGAGGCAAGGGCAGTGGTAACGGTGTCGCCTCTTCTGAGAAACTTTCCACCTGCCACACCACCCCAACCCAACCCGAAGTGACAGTTGGGCTCGTCGATGTCCAATGGGTGGGCACTCAAAAACATGGAAGAAACACGCTGGAACCCGCGCACCCCCCGACCCGCAATTTTGGAAGAAGCAAACTCGGCATAAACGTAAACTTTTGGCGCTCCGCGCGGATTTTTCGGATTCGCGCTGGACCCCCCTCCCTGGCGCGCGGAGCGCGCCAGGGGCGGCGCCAGAAGCGCCGCCTGGCGGGCGCAGCGCGGATCTACAGCATCCGCGAGGAGCTCCAAAAGTCTCTGCTTGTGGCGATTTGTCTTCTTCGAGTGCACCCCCCGACACGCAATTTTGGAGTGGTCACCCTACAGGGGAATTTTCAACGAAAAATAAAAAACATCCTCAAAAAATGTTCCAAAATGGTCTATGATATATTATATATATAGTCCCCTGACTGTTGTTTTATCATGTTTGAATATTCCCTTCTGCAGAGGGACAGGCCCAATTTATATCTAAGGCCTTCGGGTGGGGTGGGGGTTTACCAGCCTGGAGCATGTCCCTGGCCCCATGCTCGGCACCGCCCCATCACGCTGGCGATCTCAGGGACTCCCCCCGTCTCTGAGGGTGCACCCCCAAGACTGTCATCGCCCCTTGGCGTGCCAACCTCAGGGACAGGGATAAGCTCGAGGCCGGTGCGGGGTGGCCTCCGCCTCCCCCCCGCGAGGGCGGCCACCAGCCGCGCTGCCGCCCGCCGCGCCATGTAGGCGCCGGGGGCCGCCGCGGCGCTCGGGGCGCGGCCGGCCTCCGCCGCGCCGAGCGAGGCCTCGCGGGGCACGGGCGAGGCGAGGCGAGGCGAGGCGCCGACGTGCGTCCAGAAGGACGGCCCTACAGTCAAAGCTGGCAGTGAGGATGCGCGGCAAGGAGGCGAGCCCCTCCAGAGGCCTCCCGGACGACTGCCTGCCAGACCACCCCAGCCCGGCCCGAAAACCCGCGTTTCGGGTTGGGGGGGGGGGTACGGGCTTCAGACGTGCTCTTCCGAGGTTCCCCGACCCCCCCTCCCACTGGAAGTGGAGGGCAAATCGGGACCTTCGGGTTGGGTTGGGGTGGTTTGGTGGGCGGTGACTAGATGGGGGTCCGAGCAGACGGGGTCGGAGGATGTCGCCGCATCGCCGATGCATCGGCAGTGCGTGGCCGAGGCATCGGCGATGCATCGGCCATGTGCGCTGGCGACTTCGGCGATGCATCGGCGACGTCGGAGTGAAAAAAATTGGGCCCCACATCGAGCCGCATCGCTGATGCATCGAGGATGCATCGCCGATGCGGCGCGATCCTCCGACCCCATCTGCTCCGACCACATCTGGGAGGCCCAGACCCTTGGACGCCCATGTCGAGGCTCTTCGAGTGGGGCTGGCCATCGAGAGCGATGAAGGATGGGCCGAAGAGGCAAGGATGCAAGGGTACCCTTGGGAAGGTTACCCAGCACTATCATAGGCTTCGACTGTACAGGCATGGTGCGACCATGAGGAACGCGAAGAAAAAACGCAGAAACCCAAGTGCAGAACGCAGGAGCCAATATAAGAACGCAGACCTTCAACGAATTTAGAAAAACACAAGACGAAGGTGGTTCGTCGTTGCGGGCGTCTGGGCGCCCTCGCCAGGCCTCGCAAACCATCTGGGGCTAAAAACTGGTCCCCAGAAAGCGGTCCAGACCTCTGGGGGTCCGCGCCGTGAGAAAAAAACACCGAGCCCCGGGACCATGGAAAAGCGGTCCAGGGCGGAAAACTGGTCCTGGAGAGGGGCCGAGGCGTACGGCGACCGCATAATGCAAGGATTTCAGCCTCGGACATCTGGGGACCTCTCGCCGTCATAAGTAATCTCACCAGCCCTCTGGGCGTAGGTGGTTTAACGAGTTTCGTCTTCTCTCCCCCTCCTTCCCCTGCTCGTGGGAGGGGGTTACCCCTCCCTCTGGCCACTCTCCTGGGTGCGAGGGGCGGACCGGGTAGTTCGAGTTTCACGATGGGCCCAAGATGACTCCAAGAGGGCCCTCGGCAGCCCAAGACGGCCTCCGAAATGGCTCAAAACAACCGAAGATGGTTCAATATAACCTCCGACATACCGCCAAGAAGCTCCAAGACAGCCCCAGGACTGTTCGAAGTACGCTTCGAGCCTTTCTAGGCACCCTCCAAGAGGTCAAAATTCTTCTCAATAACCCGAGGAAAATCAATGTGTTCAGCCCTCTCGCTTTTTCGCTTCCGATGGGCTTTTCAAACCTCAAGATGGCCCCAAAATGGCCCACGAGGGCCCCAAGAAGGGCTCAAGAGCGCCCCAAGACGACTCAAGAGACGCCCAAGCACGGCCCCAGTGCCCCATTCTTGAGTCTCCCAGGGGGGGACCTGAATTGCCCCCCCCCTCGACCCTCTTTTCGAGCCAAGAGGGCCAAGAGGCCTCCCAGACCCCTCCAATGAGCCCCAAGAGGGCCCCAAGACCACAAAAACAAGCCCCAAAAGAGCACCAAGAATGCCCCAAGAGGCCCCACGGGGATCCCGAGAGAGCCCCTAAGATGGCCTCAGTCGTCCTTCAAGTACCTCAGACAACAACATATTTCCAAAGCGCGACTTCTCATCCTTGTTGTCATCGTCCGTTCCTTCCCTCCTCCATTCCTGCATCCCTCATGATCCTCTTCCTCTTCCTCTTCGTTTTGTTGATGTTCCTCCTCCTGCTCCTCTTCTTATTCCTCCTCCTCGCCAGCAGCAGCAGCACCAGCAACAGCAGCAACAGCAACAGCAACAGCAGCAGCAGCAGCAGCAGCAGCAGCAACACCAACACTACCAACACTAACAAAAACAACAAGAGCAACAACAACAACAACAACAATTACTAGCACGTGGGGACACTCCGTTCTCACCAGTGCCAGGGTTTTCATACGACGCCCGCCAATACCCCCACTTTGTGGGGGGGCCGGTTCAAGCTCTACCACATTTCCAAACGACTCTTCGCCACCACCCACACCCAGCTTCCCGCCCTATGACGTTCGGACACTTCACTTCGTGGCCTGCGGACGACCGTGGCTACTACACTGGCGCATGGGTACAGTGACTTGTTGTGGTAACATTTTCTGGACGCTAGCTTAGTATATAAGAAATGCATGCTGCGCGCGGGTAGAAATTTTGAAAATTCGTACAGATGTTTTTCGAGGACCTACGGTGCGATTCGTATGATTTTATGTTGCGCGGTGCTAAAATTCCTAAGAAACCCAATGGTTTTTGAAGATTTCGGCGTGCGCGCGCGAAGAAAAAACGAATGTGTCCCGCATGGTATTATTTGACAGGGATGATGGCCCTGGCAGGTGCGCAACCGTTGTTGGAGAAGTTCGAAAAAGTTGCTCGCAAAAGCCCGTTTGACAGAAATGTTTAAAAAGTGTTGGGTTTCCTACGAATCCGCAAGAGCGCGCGGGATGAAATTTTGACATTTTTTTTTGAAAAACCATTGGTTTTTTGATGTTTTTATGTTAAAATCGCTACGAACACTAAGGTTTTGGAAGGATTTCGTCTTGCGCGCGCGAATGTCCACTTTACCTTATTTTTTGCAAGGGATTCTTGAAGTTTGGTTATGTTAGAACAAGAAATGTCCACTTTGCCTTGTTTTTTGCAAGGGAAAACCGCCCGTAACAAAACAACCGGATCCGGACCAACCCGTTTTGCCTGAGACTTCCTCACGAAAATGATGAAAATGTGGCTGCGGCCTAGGCGCGGCGAGGGGGCCGTGCACCAGGGGTCCCAACAATAATTATTCTTTAGAAGTAATAATGTTCAACAACAACAACAACAACAACAACAACAACAACAACAACAATTACTAGCACGTGGGGACACTCCGTTCTCACCAGTGCCAGGGTTTTCATAGGAGGCGGGCAATACCCCCACTTTGTGGGGGGGCCGGTTCAAGCTCTACCAAATTTCCAAACGACTCTTCGCCACCACCCACACCCAGCTTCCCGCCCTATGACGTTCGGACACTTCACTTCGTGGCATGCGGACGACCGTGGCTACTATTCAGGGCCCCGCGGCCGACGACGACGGCGTGCGCGCGCGAAGAAAAAACGAATGTGTCCCGCATGGTATTATTTGACAGGGATGATGGCCCTGGCAGGTGCGCAACCGTTGTCGCAGAAGTTCGAAAAAGTTGCTCGCAAAAGCCCGTTTGACAGAAATGTTTAAAAAGTGTTGGGTTTCCTACGAATCCGCAAGAGCGCGCGGGATGAGATTTTGACATTTTTTTGTTGAAAAACCATTGGTTTTTTGATGTTTTTATGTTAAAATCGCTCCGAACACTAAGCTTTTGGAAGGATTTCGTCTTGCGCGCGCGAATGTCCACTTTACCTTATTTTTTGCAAGGGATTCTTGAAATTTGATTATATTAGAACAAGAAATGTCATTTTATAGTGTTTTTTGCAAGGGAAAACGGATTACAACAAAACAACCGGATCTGGATCACATCGTTTTACCTGAGGCTTCCTCACGAAAATGATGAAAATGTAGCTGCGGCCTAGGCGGCGCAGGGGGGGCGCGCACCAGGGGGCCCAACAATAATTATTCTTTAGAATAAATAATGTTCAACAACACCAACAACAACAACAACAACAACATCATCAACAACAACAACAACGACAACAACAACGACAACCATCAACAGCAACAACAACAACAACAACAACAACAACAACAACAGCAACCATACCATCAGCAACAACGACGACGACAACAGCAACAGCAACAACAACCACAACAGCAGCCACAACCGAAACCACAACCACGACCACAACCACAACAACAACCACAACAACAACATCGTCATCGTCGCCATCATCATCATCAGCAGCAGCATCAGCAGCAGCATCATCATCAACATCAACATCAACATCAGCATCATCATCAGCATCATCAGCATTATCATCGTCATCATCCGTATCGTCACCACCACCACCACTTCATCATCAAAAATCATCAGCATCATCACCATCACCATCAATATGATCGTCATCATCCTCATCATCACCACCACCACCATCAGCATCAGCATCATCGTCGCCGTCGTGCCGCATTCCTCCTCGTCCACCTCTTCTTCTCCCTTTTCCTTCTCTTTTTCCCTCCTCCTCCTCCTCCTCCTCCTCTTCCTCCTCCTCCTCCTCCTCCTCCTCCTCCTCCTCCTCCTCCTCCTCCTCCTCCTCCTACCCCCAAGAGGTCGAGCATGGCTCACGATAGCCTCCGAAAGACCTCCAAGAGACCTCAAGACAGCCTCAAGATTGCCCGAGATAGCTGAGCATGGTTCAAGGTAGCCTCCGACAGCCTCTAGCCGAGCATGGTGCAAGATAGCCTCCAAGAGGCCTCAAGAAAGCCTCCGATCGTGTCTGGGGGATACTTTTTGTCGCAACCGCAGGCGTTGGCGCCGGCGGCGTCACAGGTCGGCTCGGGTTACGAGCAGAACTAATTGCCTAGCGTGCGCTCAAGCAAGTGCTAAACCTACTTGTCTGTGGGATTTGTTTAGTCGCAGCTGCAAGCCGACGAGCCGACAGCGTCAGTAGAGTAGCACGGGCCGCGAGCACCCTAATTGCCGGCGCGCGCCGCGCAGGCAAAAGTGTATGGGGGATACTTTTTTGGTCGCGGCCGCGAGCGAAGAGCACACGCGGCGAAAGCAAATGTCCGGGGCAGCGAACAAGGCGGATTAGCTACAAGACGCGCCGCAAGCCGGCCGGCCCACTCACCAAGCAGCCGCGGGGCTGGGCGGGAAGCTGACGGTTGGGGGCATCCTGGGAAGCTCGGGCACGTGCAGTCTGACAAAATGTCGAGAAATCCGGCGCATGCCGTGAGGCATAACCCACACAGACGACATGACGTGCACAGGTGCCGACGTGTCCTTCATACTGGGTGGGAGCAGGCGCGAAGACCGATGGGCGAGTCGCCAGTGGGGCGCCAGGCCCAAGCCGTCCCAACGACGTGTGCTGACTAGGGGAGCTGAGCTGCCGGGGAACGTCGCAAACCTGCCAGAAGGGCGGGGATGAGTCCAGGGTGCTGTTGCGACTGCAGAAGGCTAAACCACTCCGTCGCGATCACAGTACCCAGAAGGCCATCATTCAGTGCCCGAGGTAGGCCAGGACGACAGTGGGCCGGCCCCGCCAACAACGGCACAGCGCCGACGCCAGATGGACTGTAGGAGAAAGCCAGGCAGGCGTGCTGAGCATCGCCAGCGAGGCAGGGGGATCCAGGGGGATGCTGCACTGGAGGCACGGCAGCTGCCGCCTGATGTACGCCGAAGGCCACCGTGGGACGGCCTTATCCTCCGAGTCCGCCATTCAACGCGAGCGTCTAGGGTCGCAGCTAACCGCCGCTGAGGGTGAGGTAGAGTTACCGCTGTCGGCGGGGGTACTGGGCGGCCGTACCTGCGAAGGCTGAACTACACGGAGCTGGCTGTACCTCCAGGGGCCGTGTGTGGCGTATGGCCAAGCTAGTCGGAAAACCATTGCTAGCAGGGTGGGGCGACCTGGGTGGAGCTGCGCTGTCGCAGCCGCGTGAAGCCGAAGGCCACCGTGGGCCGACCTTGTCCGCCGCGTCCGCCCTTCCCGCGGAAGTCCAGGGTCGCCGTCAATCCATCACCACGTGGGCCTCCAGGGTCGCAGCTAACCGGCGCTGAAAGTGAGGAAATGTTCCACGGACAGCGGGGGTCCAGGGCGGCCCTGGGGAGAGGGGGCGAAGCCATCGATGCCAGTCGGCACGCCTGGCGAAGCCCAGCCAGTAGAAGGCCCGGAGGGAAGGGGGGGATACGCGAAGCGTCAAGAAATACACGACCATGGGCTTGCAAGACAAGATGCTGCATTCATAATCACCGCCATGTAAGCCCCTCTAGCAGTGCAAACCACATGGCTACCCAAACAAGCACACCGCTCGGATCGAATCATTCGGGCCGATCGAGGTGCAGCATTCGACACTTTTTCTACTGGCACAGTGGCTTCTCTGAGGGTGCCATTGCGACTGTCCAGGAACCTCTGACCCGAAGCTCCCGCCGAGATTGATCACACTGACAACGTCGATAAGATTGGTCGAGCGGTCGCATGCCAGCTTGCCCGCGCGTGCCTGTTGACGCAAGTTGGTGGTCTCCAAACCAGGTGGTGAGACACCCGGTGGTGACCCCGATTCCCCCCAAAAAAAATTCTGGGTCACCACCGGGTTTGGGGACACGCGGTCGCCACGAGGTTTTTGCGCTTCCTGGGCCCGCCAGCGCTCGAAAACCATTACCCAAATCGCCCAAAACTCACCACCGGGTGTTCTCACCGCCACGTTTGGGGACCACCAAGCAAGCATTGGCCCCGAAGCGATCCCCGCTTGCCTCCCGAAGCCCGCGCCGACCGGCCGTGCGAGCCGCGCCGGGGGAGGGCGAGGGGCCCCCCCCACCGAGGGCCCGCAGAGCTCAACGACGGAGCGACGAGGGGGCCCCCCACGAGTGCACTCGTCGTCGTCGTCGTCGTCGTCGTCGTCGTCGTCGTCGTCGTCGTCGTCGTCGTCGTCGTCGTCGTCGTCGTCGTCGTCGTCGTCGTCGTTGTCGTTGTCGTCGTCGTCGTCGTCGTCGTCCCGAGGCTGCTTCTATCATTTCGGGTACGGTCATTACCCGGGGGGAGATGGGGTTCGGTGGCAACTCATGGAAGCCTCCCATCCCATCTTGGGGCTCTTGCGAATCCACGCTGATCGGCGCTAGTCTACGCTCATCGACGCTGGATCGACGCAGATCAGCGCAAACCGATGCAGAATCGGGGCTATCTCATCGACTCCCAGGAACTAAGCGGCGCTAATCGACGCTAAAGACATAATTAAGAGGGTATACCAGGCTCCCATGATTTGCTAACGAAGGGGTGGGGGAGGGGATTGGGGCTCCTGGTAGCGGTCACGCTTGGGCGGGGTGGGGCACGTCAGGGCGGGGGTTTCGCCGCGATCGCCGGAGTATGCGCGAGAGCACCAGCATGTGGGGGAAGTCCAGCCCCACCACCCCACGTAAGACCGTTACCTTTACCCGGAGGAGGGTGGGGGGCGGTGGGGGGGAGTACGGCCGTTACGCGCCAGAAGATAAAAGTGAGATCACGGCGACGTCGGGGTGGAGAAAACCAGCCTCCACATCGAGCCGCATCGGCGACGCATCGGCGACACGGCGCGATCCTCCGACCCCGTCTACTCGGACCCCATCCATGTGGGAGGCCTAGATTTGATTGGTGGCGAGCCAGGATGTGAGAAGGGGCGGGCCTTCTCAGAAGGCTCGGAAGCCCCCCCGCCTTCTGAGAAGTTTCCCAAGCGTCCCCCCAAGACCATGACAACTTCTCAGAGGCCGCAGGGCTTCTGAGAAGCCCCGCCGCCTTCTGAGAAGGCCTTCCCCCCCTCGCTCGCCCCCGAATTTGGGAGACCTAGATTGACGTCGGGCCTGTCCCCCTGCAAAATGCCCCGAGAATAACTACCCCAACAAAAGTCAAACATCTTATTTTTTTACAAGAAAAAAGAAAGGAAAAAACAAAAACAACAAACAACAAAAAAAAAAAAAAAAAAAAAAAACGTTCCCAGACCATTTCTGGACTATGTTTGAGTCTTCCCCCTGTGGAGGGACAGGCCCGACTTACGAGGGCACGGCGACCTCACGCGACGGCCCACGCCAGCCGCTGGCGCGGCACACCGCGCGGAGGGGAGGGCGCTTCCACGCGCGGCGCCGCGCTGGTCAGCCTGGCGCGCCAGGTGCTCGCGCAGGTCAGCACCACCCCCTGCGCGTCGCTGGGCCGGGCGCCGTCCCCCGAAGACCCGACGGCGCTCCACCGATCGCCTCGTGGGGGCTAAACGCCGGACGAGATCAGGCGAGGCAAGTCCAGGCAAATCCGCGCAAATGCGCAGAACTCGCCCAGGTCCTCGGCGGCCGCCAGCCCCGTCGTCGTTCGCTCGTTCGTTCGCTCGTCGCCCTCCTCCAAGCCGCCCTGCCCCTGCAGGGAGGACGGCGAACTTGCCACTCCCATCGTTCGACGACGACCCCTGTCCCTGCCCCCTGTCCAGGGAATGGTTGGAGCAACTCGCGGCCGCTCCAGCGCGAGTCGAAGGACGGCAGGGGTCGCTGCGCCACTCCCGCTCGGCGCAGAGGCTGTGTCCTGCTACAGGCTACGGGGCAGACAGGAAAAATATGGAAGACAACTTGCATTGGAGCGGCGGAGGCAGGCCATCAATCCCTCGACCGCGCCTGGAAAAGTCAGCCCCTGTCACTCGGAAAGCACACGCGAGCGTCAGCGAGCCCACAGTTGCTTGTCTTGCGTTCCAGGGTGCGGGGGGGAGAGGGAGGAGGGGAAGAGATGGGAGAGAGAGAGAGAGGGGGGAAAGGGGAGGGACCTGACCGCCCCTGCCGTGCAGGGCTGAACGACGGCAGAGGCCGTTCCGCCCCAAACGACGCAGGGATGATCTTGGACGCTGGTCCCCGACGCGGGGCCTCGGACGCTTTGCCGTGCTCGGGCGCCGGCTCCAGCGGGCCCGCGCCCGTGCCGGGCAGTTCCTCTGCGGCCTCGCGCAACGCTCTGGCGGCGGCGGCCACCGCCGCCGTCGTCGTCGTCGTCGCAGCCCGCGGTGCGGCCTCCTCCACCCCGCCCACGTCCGCCCAAAGCTCGAGCTAAACAGTGGTTGCCGTCTTCGTGTTATCTCCACGTCCCTCCGCTCCGCCTTCGCTCTGCCTCTGCTGCGAGACGAAAGCAGAGCGAGGACGGCCCACGGAATTGCCAGGACACCGCTTCGCTCCGCCTGTTCCCTCTTCTCTTCCGCTCAATCCCGCTCTTGGCGCTCGCCTCGCCCCCCCCCCGCCCCCTGCCTCCGCCTGCCACCCGCGGCGCACCCCTGTGTCCAACGTCCTGCGCCCCGCCACGTCCGGTCCCGCCTCCCTTGCGGGGAGCAGAAGAACCACCCCGACGACCGAAGCCCTGGAGCAAACGCGCCTCGGAGAGGAATGGGGGCTGTTTGAAGTGTGAACGCCACTCGTTCCAACCGACAGCTCGTTCCATGTTGACCGATCCTGGGCCACCGCCAGCGTTCAACCTGGAACGCCAGCGGCGGGGTCGCCACCCCGTCGACACGACGCGAACCTGCCCGCAGGGGTAAGACTCGGCAAAACGAAACTCGACCAGGCTGAATTCGGCCAGCTGAACTCGGCCAGGCTGAACTCGGCCCAGGCCGAATCCAGCCTGGCCGAATGCAGCTGGTCGAGTTCGGCCTGGCCGAATTGTTCCTGGCCGATACTCGTTGCTGACTGCCGTGCTCACTCCCCATCAACCCCCCCGTCGCGATGCCCCTCGCCACCTCGCGCCTCGAGAAAAAATATGGTTATTCCTGGCGACCCGTTCCTCGCGCCACGCCCGGTCGCGGCGGCGGGGACACTCCCCCCGAGGGCAAGAGAAGGCCGCAGCTGCGGGAAAGTTGAGCTACCGCAGGGATGGGGCGGACCCCATTAGAGGTCACAAAAAACACCCCCACAATAACCACCCCGACAAGCGAGGCTGTGATTATGATGCGCTTTTAGCGCAATGGCAAAAAAAGGCCCCCTAGAGGTCAAACGGCGGCGAGTGGCGGCGACTGGTGCATACACACACGTCACGCATGCACTATCTCACACCCGTGAAACTTTATCACAAGCTAGCCAACAGACCGCGCAGTACCGCTGGTCTAAGTATGCCTCTAGGGACAGTAAAAGGAGTACTCCCATGCTGGGATTACTCAAATCAAAGGCAGTAAGGACTCAGCCACTCACTTCCCCGATCGGATAGCATTCACTCTGGCCCTCGCCAGTTGTTTCTAAAACTTCTTTAAGGTAGGCTCAGGATCTGAGGTTACGTCATACGAACTAGTACGTAAGATATTAACAAGGAAATCCGTAGGCATATTTTTCGCCAGACAACCAACAACTATAATACTTGTATCGACCCATCGGATCTTTACACAATCTCTACTTCTTCCATTGCATTAGTCATTATATCCTGTCTTAAACGACCTAAACCGATATTCCAGCGCTGATATTCTGTCTTGCCCATACTTGGGACTATTAGGTCTTCTCCAAGGCTTCTACAATCAATCATCCGTAAATACCCCTTAGACATGGCTGATTTGTCTCCCCAATTGGTTGGTAGCTTCTTCCCGGCGCCAAGCACCCCGCGCGCATCCGCGATGGCGGCGCGAAAGCGCGCACCAGATTCTACACCCCATCAACAAACCAGAGTCTCTGCGTGTAGAGTAAATTTACATACTCGTTTGACAACCTTACGAGGTAGACATACAGGGTGAACATGATCACTGCCCCCCTCGATGAGCCCAGGCCCTGCGAGTCCATTGAACCTAGCCCAGTGTGATCTGAGGGGCTCGATTCTACCATTGACTACATCCTCTTCTCCTGTCCAGCTGGCGTCAGCAACGGCAAGAACCATCATATGGATCCCACTTAACAGCTCTACCTCTAAATACTAATCCGCAGTCGGCGGACTGAGTTGCCTCTTTGAGATGGAGTACCTTAGCGTGACACACTGCTGTCTGCAGTCTGCTCACACGGTACAATAGCTCAGGTTTACACTGACGTGAAAACCATGACAAAGCACCTCCGGCCGATCTGAGCTGCGCTGTCTCACCCTCATTGCATTTCTCGTGAAGGGACTGTGTCTGGGATAGAATACAGCTTCGATATTCTCAATATTGCCCACGGCAGCGATACTCACCGTGACATCTTCATATTGAACAACTTTTAAGCCACAATAACGGAAACTGTCCGACTTCATCTCGCGAATATCACACTCTGCTACTACCGAACCGATGATTTCCTGACTCTTATCATCTGCTGCCCATAGTATGACATCTACATGTGTACCTAACCTACACGTGATCTCATCCTTGTCATTGTGACTACTGAGCAAAGCAGGCATGGTACAATTCTCATTTAGACCATGAGCTTCAAACCTTCTGCGAATTTTCCTCGATAAACCTCGTCCTGCGTCACGCGTGCCATAGACAGGCACGCGCGCGATCAACGCCCACCACCCGGTACTCCTTCGAGTCCGTCGGGCGGCGGCTTGGGCAACATGAAGCGGTCGAGTTCCTGACCCTGGAAATACGCAGATGCAATGTCGGCGCACTTGAGAGTCTTATTTGCGCCAGGGGCCCATGACACGATCAACCTTAGCCTCGCGACAAGTCCTGCTCCTGCACTGCCGTGCAACCGAAGGTCCACCTGGTCCACGGAGATGTTCAGTCTTGTCAATGTCAGTCCACTGCGCAGGTACCATGCGGTATCCTTCGTCGCGGAAATTTTGCAGTTCCACGGAATCCATAGGCACGGCGGCGTTGGGCATCCGCCATTCCCCCCATTCGTCTGGTCTTGCAAGTCGCAAGCCGATCTTAACCTCCTCAGATTCTCGATGCTATACCAAGAAATTATTTGCACGATTTTTCTTCTTCTTCTTGGATTGCGGCTTATGAACAGTGCGTTCATTGAAGAATCCGACAAGCGATTCATGTGGCTCAACAGCGAATGATGCTTCTCTGCGGGCTAGCAGATCCATGCCCGGCCCCGATATTCCGGCCCTGCGCGCGGCATCAAGAAATGGGTTCGCTGGTTCGGGAGCTGGCTCTGAGACAGAATCGGAAACCCTTCCCGCGCTACCATCGGCATTCTCGACTCCTCTACGCATCACTTCGTCGCGACCCTGCGTACCATGTGGGGTTTCGTCTAGCGCAGACCTCTGAAGAGGCGTTCAGGCCACCAGTAACGACCTCGACGCGGGCGGCGCAGGAACGACCATTCCATCAGACAGTTCATCTTCTTCCATTTGGCGAAATGCTTCTTCTATGAACTCGGGGTCTTCTGGGATCCCCAGCAGCTCTTCCGTCGCAATAGGATGTTCTTTCACAGGATGCTCTTGTACCCGTGGCATGGCAGCTCACGTCTTTCGTCCACAAATGATTTTTGTTGTCCGTCTGGAGGTGCATGTCTTTCAACTCCACCGTCGCGATGCGTAAAAGAGATACTGGCATGCCAACGCTTCCGCCGCAGTACACAGTCGAAGCCTGTCGACAGCCACGCAGACAGGCACACCCTCTGTGATAACCCATGCGTTTTTGCCATCGAACCCAACGATACGAGAACCAGTGCTCCACTTAGCAGTAACTTCGCCATCGGCATGCCTTGCGCGAGAGCACACTACATCACCTACTTGATATTATCCAGCTAATGGCGCTGCCTTTCGGAGAGCGGCCCTTGCCGTTCTACTGCCGACGCCGTGTTCCGCAAATGCTTTCCTGGCAGACGCCCGGATCGCAGCCTGGCGAGAAAACTCGTCGGCTCCGTCCTCTGCGGCGTTCGCAAGCACTCCTAAATCGAAGGCTGCCTCGTCGTCGAATTGACTCCCTGGGACACAGCGCATCTTCCCGAGCACCCACTGAGCAGGCGCAAGTCCGCCGACTCGTGACATCTCATTCTCCGCGTTGCAAAATCCTGATGCAGTAGAGATGACTTCATCGAGTCCGGTAACATTCTTGTCGTGCACCACCTTCTTGAAATGATCTTTCAACGGCCTATCTGCTCGGGAGACTCGACTCCGGCGTCGCGGAGGTCGACCCCTCGACTCTGAACCCATTGCAGCAACACTCCTCTGTTGCGCAGTCCACGGTCTAACACCATTCGTCTGGGCCCACCTGCCCACGAACGCCAGCGCTGCGGGAGCGCAGCGAGGCATGCTCTCGAAAATGGCGTGCCACCTCCCTGCTGGACAAAGATTACACGCTGAAATGTTGCACCCTGGCACGCTATGTTCAAGAAGGTGTAACGTTCTCCACTGTTGTCCTCTACCTCTAGACAGTCGATACCGATTTCCTGATCGAAGCAGAATGTCTTGGGCGAGGCAACCTTGTGATTCTGAGCTAACGGTTTATGATGTTAGCAAAACTCAAATCCGCCGACCCCTTGTGGGTCTCTAGGCGTGTGAGATAGTTCCCCCCCCCATAATCCCCCCCCCAGGGACCCCAAACCGGAGATTTGACCCCCCCCCCCGGGCCCAGCACGAGCGCGCCACGGGGCTCTTTTGGGCCCAAAAGGGGATCAAGACGGGCCCAGAAGGCTCCAAGAGGCCTCCAAGACGGCCCACGAGGGCCCCGAGACGCCAAACGAGCGCTCCCACACGCCCAAGATGGCCCCAAGACGAGCCTAGAGGCCTCCAAGACGGCCCAAGAGGTCCCCACGAGGCCCCAAGAGGCCTCCAAGATGCGTCCCAAGAGGGTCCCTAGACGCAAAAATTGGCCCATTCCCTTCGTAAAACGTATAATTTTCACAAATTCGCTTTCTGGGCTTTCCGACGCTCCAAGACGGCCCAAGAGGCCCCGAAGACCGCCCCAAGACGGCCCAAGAAACCTCCAAGAGGGTCCCAAGATAGCCCAAGAGGGCCCCAAGACGGCCCAACAAGCGTCCAAGACGGCCCAACAGGGCCCCGAAAAGGGCCCCAAGAGCGCTCCAGGAGCGCCCCAAGTGGCCTCCAAGAG